AAATTGCAGCGAAAAACATGTCGTTCCATTACTATGGAGGTCCACGTCAGTTACGCCGTAGGTTATGGTGCAGATTTCCTGCTGGAGCATAAATCCCCAGTGTGAAGGTGCATGTTGTGCATCTGCTTTTGGATTTTTTTATGCACTCTGCAGACTATAAACTGCAGCTGGCTGACAGCAGACATCTCACGCTGCACAAAAACAACCGTCTCACTGCAATTTTTTAAAGTTCCCTTAATCTGATTTTCTTTGTGCTTATAAATACTTTTTCCTGATATTAGAGGCACGGCGATGTGTCTGCTGGATCCCGTCGTTCATCGCTCTCTGTTTCTGAATCCTGCGTTTTACTTCAATCACTGCGTTTATTTATTAAAATGTTGATTCTCTTTGTCTTCAAAGTGAACGTGGTAGTGCAGAGAAAATCGGATACCTTCAGCAAGATGCTGAACAAAAGAGAACACGAGGAAAGTTTCACACTGTTTGTCTGTGAAAAGTTGTGTGTATATAACTTATATTTACTAGTTTATAGCAGGGATACATGCTGGCTGAGTCCAATTCTGCACTTACTGTAAAGTATCAGCTGCTTTATCCTAGTGTACATAGAGACACATTGTTTTGCATTAGAAGACAGTCTTGTTATCTTTGTGCTCCACCCTACATACACCTCTGTTATCATGCATCTTTCTCTCTATTCTGAATGATGGACAGTCCCTTCTCTGTTTGCTGTGGTGTCTGAGACAGCAGCAACTCTTACCATCACCGCTGCATCGCATCTACACAAGCTGAGCACTCGCTCCATCAGGGATAAAGGCCTGACTCATTTAACATTTTGCAGCCTTTGGTTGGGGTCGGTTTGTCATGTAACACGGGTGGGGTGGGGGTGGGGGGGCTTGTAGGGGCAGTAAAATGTAAACAGTGCTTAGCACACCACACACCCGGTGCTATCTTTATGATTTTTAGGCAAATAAGGATAGAAAGTATGGTAAAGAAAGTGATGTCTTGGACAAAAAAAAGAAAAAAAAGTTGTGATGTGCTTGTGTTTCTATCTGCTTGCTCATATTTAATGAAACATTACAAATAAATGCAAACAAAAAACCAAAAAAGCAGAAAAAGCAGTGTCTTCTTTGCTTCTTTTTGTTAAGAAGAACCATGAAAAATTACCGGTTGCAGGTATCTGTCAGTGTTTCTTCCTGTCCAAGTCTTTGTCTTTGTGACAAACAACATTTCTGAAAAAAATATATCGAGATTTCTTTTAAATCCACATGGAAGAGAATTTTCTCTCACAACTTTCTTTCTATGCTTATCAAAGATTGCGCCGTGTTCTGGCACGAGCTCTGACATCGCTCCCCGCTCCTGCATGTTGCCGTCACGTGAGAACCAAAGAATATATTATTTTTGCATCGTGTCTCAATATATTCTTAGAACTCGTGCGATTTATGGAGCAACAAGCATGAGGGAGGATGTCCAGACACTTATTCCAGAACAAGATGTCATGTGCTTTTCGTAGCTTTTAGTGAATTTGCCAAAAAAATAAAATAAAATTCCACAGACGTGTGCGCGATGTTGCATTTCACATTGTTCTCTCTCATACTTTAGCCCGGTGGCACGGGTATGCTATTTGAGGATGTCACATTTTGGATGATGCTGTGTCCAATCTGTCCTGTGCTAACCAGTGACATTCTGGTTCATTTGAAGGGTTGTGCTAAAACAGTACCACTACATACAACTCTGCCAGCCAATCCGAGATATTGGCTGGGTGCAGACTCTAAAGCAACACCTGTGGGGCTGTGCACTTCCCAATCCCAGGTAATCAAGAGCAACAAGAAGACATAGACACAGAATTGCCACTCATTGTCATTCATACTTGCTCATGGAGTTGTCATTTACTTTTGTTTTCTATTACAGTGGCACACTTTTGTTTTTTTTCTGGTGATCCACCACATTATCTCTGGTCTACTCCCCTCTGTATTTCTCTTCCATATGGACACTAGAGTGAGGGGGGAGGTGGGTTAGAGGGGGACGTTTGCCTGCCTGCTGTCACATCCTACATTTAAGGTTCCTTAAGGTGGCTTTTCTTAAGGAGGCCTTGGGTTTTAGTCCAGTCGTGAGCGACTAGTCCTGATCGAGCTGCCGGAATGCACCCACTCCCCACGGTTAAATTGCATGACTGACTAGTTGAATTAGTGGCTCAGGTATGACCCCAGTCATGTGCGAGGCAGGTCACTCATGCACTGTAGTCACATGCAAAACTGTAACAAATCCATCTCATGTGGACTTTTCTTTCTTTAAAGCATGCTGCCACTGTTTTCTGTTGGACCTGCAATCTGAGTTTGTGTTCAGTAATTTGGCCCAGGCTTTGCACTAGACTGTGACGAGCGTTAGCATGGGTGTGAGATGGGCGGTAAGTATGGATGGAATGAGGGAAGCGACACTGCTTTGATCAGTTATGACAGGAGCTCTAGGTGCATGCTTATGATCTAATTTGTGATTTGGATTTTTTTCCATCGTCTACTGCATTTTGTAGCCTTTCTTTCAAAGAACACCCCGAGACCCTCATTGTACTCTTGGCA